GGGGGGGGGAATGTCACACAACCCCCTCTTCCATAGTGTCCCCTAAGCAGTCAGCAAGGGGTTTCAGTATCACGGAGGTGGTTCATTTGGTGTCTGTCTGCACTGGGGGGCAGATACCATAGCAACAGTGTGGTTACATGCAAAAGAAAACACAGATTAAGATAATGATTCTCAAAACAATTATTTTTTCCACCAAGAGCTGCATGATTCCAACAACTGATTTATTAAGTTCCCTAGCTTGGGGGTGGCTCCTTCAGGGATTCACTTGTGTTCTCATGTGATTTAGTAAAGGCGATACATTAGCAGACTCATCAGGTATGAACACACAGCATACCTGTTCGGATAATGGCACGGTGCCTCCTTTTGAGACAAAAATAATGCCCGAAGCCATTCTATTTTGGAGGGCAGTTCTTCTCACTAGAGATATTTCAGTATTCAGTAAGGACAGGTTTTGTTGGTTATCATTTAATATTTCCTGGATGAATTTAGTAAGGGCATCTATATGTGCTATAACATCCACCAAACCAATGGAGGAAACAAAGACAACAGCCACAGCCAAATAATCCATGTCAGTGAAAGACACGGTGTACCTACCTAGTCTTGAGAAGAGAGAAATTGGCAACTGTTGTTACCATGGTGGTGGGGAGGGGGGCGATTCTCCCCTGTGCCAAGGGAAAACCCACGGTGCAGTGGTCCCACCACCCAGGTGGGAGCCATAGCCAAAGATTTGTGCCACACAACCACTGAGCCCCTTTGGGTGGCTGCCCAATAAATACCCGGGTGATGTGACCAGTCAGTACCAAACCAGTCACTTTCCCTTAATATGACGGGATGATTACACAGTTCCCATGATGTCTATCTCATATTCCTGTTACAGTTGGGTTGGTTCTGTTTAGAATGACTTTTCTCTTCCTAATAAAGGGGTGCCCAGGTGTTCAAATGTCCATAAACTTATCCCAGATCTGGCTCAGTGGTGGTATTTCTAGAACCAATCCATTCAGCAGTTTAATAAATGTGTAGTTTAATTGATAGAAAAAGAAGACCCATGCCCAGTGTTATTGATCATGTGTGCCATGGGCCAGGTTTCCAGATTAGTACTGGTAACATCAGATGAAATCAAGAGTGCTAGTCCTAGCTCATCCTTCTTAATGTACTGTGTTAGGGCCTTTTAGTCCCTTTCCTGGAAGGGCGATACCCACCGTGGCAAGCCTGAGGAGCTAGAGGGGGGCAGCTGCCCACATACCCATCAGTTGGATTGACTTCTTTGTTGGACATAGGAGTGGGCCCACTGTAGCAAGATATTTCCATCAGGTGCCCATCCTGCAACTGGACACCAAAGGAGCAGCAGAGTCTAAAGTCAAACAGATGTTTAGTAGGAAATTGTATGGGGAGGTGTTTCCCTGCTACAAGAATGCCAAGGCCTCATCTTTAGATGTTAGTGTGGCTACAGTTTTAGGACTTTGACCAAGTCATGTATACCATCCATGTTGGCCAGGGGAGGCGGCACTGTCAGGCGTGAGATGGATTAGGGGTGGGTTATGCCAGAGCAAGACCCCCATCTTCTCCCCCTCTTTTAATGGTACCTGTTCCATTGCAGGTATAGTATGTTTCAACAACAGGTTAAGCTTATAGCAGAACAATGGGATCCCAGAGGAGACTGACTAGTTCCTCCTCACCCAGGAGTGCAAAATAACCACCAATCCCAGAACTTCCCACTGCAAATTCCAGTAGATAATGCCTTTCCCAGGTGTGATGGGATTTGGTGTTTTCAGCAGCATAACTTGTTGATCCTTGGTATGAGTTGGGGCAACAGGTCTTACTGGTTGATTATGAAAATGTGTTAATGCCTGGAATGGTACCTTAGTCTACTTGGCCAAGGTGGTTTTACCTGTTAGTAATGTCATCTGCTCCTTTAATATTCCATTTTTCCTTTCTACCAACCCTGCTGCTTGGGAGCAGGAACCTCTTTTTACTGTCAAGACTCTTTTTTTAATGTTTATTTATTTTGAGAGGGAGAGAGAATCCCAAGCAGGCTCCATGCTGTCAGCACAGAGCCCGATGTGGGACGTGATCTCACAAACCATGAGCCAAAATCAAGAGTCAGATGCTTAACTGACTGAGCCACCCAGGCACTCCTCACTGTCATGACTTTGACCAGTCTTGCACATCATGACCCTTGAAATGGGACCCTCCCCCCCACCATCACATCTACTGATGAGGGTATCCATACATGATATTCAGTTTCTATAATCCCCTAATGGTGACAGCCTGGTTTGCATAGTGCCAGGGGAAAGCTTGGACTAGGCCAGACGCCAGTGTCCACACAAACCAGGGCATATGTACAACCTTTACACAGAGGGACGGAGATGATATAATCAATTTGCCAGTCCCATACTGGTTGAGAACGCTGGTGGGTGACTTAAGATTCCTTTGGTATTTACCTTTGGCATTGTTTAGAACACACAAAACATGAGTCACTGTAGTTCAAGGGCAATATGGGCTAAGGTATCAGCTTCCTGATTGCCAGGGGATGTCATACTTTATAAGCAGGGATGTAGAAGACAGCCTGTACCACAGCCCCTTGTAGGTAGACCCAAACATCTTTTTACATATCCTGATTCCCACAAGGGCTTATTCATGATCATCCACCCCTCGGCTTCCCAATGTCCAAGCCATGGGTCTCATCCCTTTAAAACAATCCAATTGTCAGTGCAAAGGGTTAACAAAGGATTAACAGCTAGAACTTACGAGCGATTGATCGCCAGCCAAGCTGTTCTGAGTTCAGCCCACTGGCTGCTGAACTTTGTTCTTTGTTCCTGTTTCCATCCAGATGGTGTCATTATTGGGTTAAGTAGTGACTGCAGTCCTCACAGAGGGATTTCCTGGACTAGACCCATCTGTGTACCAGACATCAGCCAAAATTTCCCCACTACCTCCCCACAGGCTACAGGGACACAACAGGTATAGGGGCAGGGGCACTTGGAGGATCGATATACCCCACAGGTCCTAACTGTACCTGCATTTCTAGTAGGCTGCTGGACAGGGTGCTCCTCTGGCATGCCACTCAATCACAGTGGGAGTTTGAGCCATAGCAGAGGTGGGTCAATGGAACGTATTTTCAACCCATCCCTTCATAGGTAGGGAAGCTCTTACCACAATGTGCTGTTCCTTAGTGAGAGGCTTAACCTGAAGGGGTCCTTGGTACGCTGATAGGAGCTGTTGCTCTATGGTGGTATGTCAGGTTGTTGCCTGCTTCCAGAGCTGACCCAAATTCCTAGGAGTACTCTCCCCTTCTCTTGTTTCTGCCAGTGTCCAGCTCATATATTCCGGAGTCACAGACCCATCTAATTCAAATGGCAGTCTTGCTTGAGCAATGCTCAGAACTAACCTGCCTTCTAGCATTTTGGCCTTTCAAAGACAGCTTACTGCTCTGATCCCCAGTTGGGGGGGGGGGGGTGTCTTACTGTTCTTTACCAGGTGATATAAGGTAAGGGGACACTGTATCAGCTGGGGAATAAAAGTCCTCCAAAGCCCCTAAATCCCTACAAAGACTGGCATCACATTCTTAGGGGTTGGATAGGCTTGCACCTATCTGGGACAACAGAAGTCTTATACGACCAGACAACTCCCAAAAACTTTACAGTGATGTCTTGGCCTTGAATTTTTTGTGGGTTCACTGCCCATCCTCT